GGGGTGGCAGTGCAATGCGCCGCGTCACAATGCAACACAACACAACGCAGCGCAACACAACGCAGAGCTGCGCCAACCGGGCCCGGCCCGGCCCCAGCCCCGGCCAGGCGGCGTGGAAATGAGATGCACATTTACCCTTGACGCAGGGCAGGCCCGGCAGCGCCTCCCAGGTTAATTGCTACTTAATGGAAATCATGCCCATGAATATCCTTCCCATCATTTCACCCTTGGCGGACGACGTTAGCGAAGCAGGGAAAAAAATGCATGGGGTAGCATTAGCATCGCTGGGGGACGGAGTCCGAGCTCGGGCACAATGTTCCCAGGAGGCGGGAGCGATGCAGAGGCCGGGCCGGGCCGGGCTTTTCTGGGTGTTCAGGACGCGCTGACTCCCCTTCCCGGGCCGCCCGGGCCCAGCTCCGCTCTGCCCCTCGGCCCGGATCCAGGGCCCCGATCCAGCCTGTGACCCGAGCGCCTTGGCCTTGAGTCTGCTGCAGCCCCCGCTCCGCGGGCGCCCTCGGGGCAGGACCCCGTCCCCAGAGCGGGGGGGCTGCGGGCAGGCCACGCCGACCCCGGTGCCCGGCTGTGAGCGGAGCGCGGGCAAGGCCCGGCCCCACGCGTGAGCGCCTCGTGGCAATGCAGGGAGCACTGGTGGCTCCGTCCAGGAGCATCCCAACCCCCGCCCCGCTTTCCCGTCCCGCTAACTGCTCTTCCCCGCGCTCTGTTTGCAGGGAGCCACGAGCCCAGGCCGAGGGGGCCCAGTCTCTGCACCGGACCCGGGACCGCAGCCCGGGCAGGCCTGCACGAGCCCGCCGAGGCGCCGCCGAGCTGCAGGGCGAGACGGGCAGGTAGCACAAGCCCCGCGAGCAGCCTGGGAGCAGGTCAGCCGCGGCCTTGGAAGTGATCCTGGGTGTCGCCCGCCCTCGCCAGCGTGTCAGCAGGGCTCCCTGCTCCGGGCCCGTCGCTCGGGGCTGCTTGGGACACCGCAGCGCCAGGCCCTGCCCTACCCAGCCTGGGCTGCGCGGGATCCTCTGCCCGACACCGCAGCAGAGCGGGCACCGGGCAAGCGGGACAAGCCCCGGCCCCAGCACCGGGACGGGCGGGGGCGGGGGCCGGGGCCGGGCTGGACCGGGCCTGCTGGTGCGCCAAGCCACGCGGCCGTGCAGAGCCTTCCCTTCCAATAAACGGGTGTGATTTACTCCAAACGTGGACGCGTTTTATTCCCTAATCCCATCGATATTATTGCCCACAGATGAGCGGGCAGACAAAAC